TCTAATCCTTTCACCTTCCCTTCCCACAAGCACTGCAGATGGCTGTGATCAATACATTTAATACTGACAGATACCTGTATTTTGCAGGAAGGAGACTATAATTTCGGATTCCTCAGTGGGGAAAACAAAACACTGGTCTTGCTTCCAACGATGCAAGTGTGATTGTTGGTGTCTTCATGAGCTCCAGAGGTCACAGCACACTACCACGGACTCTCATGGCCCCTCGGATGATTTCTGAGGGGGACATAGGAGGCATTGCCCAAATCACCTCCTCTCTCTTCCTGGGCAGAGGCAGTGTGGCCTCCAACCGGCACCTCCTCCAGGCTCGCGGCATCACCTGCATCGTTAATGCTACCATTGAAATCCCCAATTTCAACTGGCCCCAGTTTGAATACGTTAAAGTGCCTCTGGCTGACATGCCTCATGCCCCCATTGGACTGTACTTTGACACCGTGGCCGACAAGATCCACAGTGTGAGCAGGAAGCACGGGGCCACCTTGGTGCACTGTGCTGCAGGGGTGAGCCGCTCGGCCACGCTCTGCATTGCTTACCTGATGAAGTTCCACAGCGTGTGCCTGTTGGAGGCGTACAACTGGGTGAAAGCCCGGAGACCTGTCATCAGGCCCAACGTAGGCTTCTGGAGGCAGCTGATAGACTACGAGCGCCAGCTTTTTGGGAAGTCGACAGTTAAGATGGTACAGACACCTTATGGCATAATTCCAGACGTTTATGAGAAAGAGTCCCGACACCTGATGCCTTACTGGGGGATTTAATGCCGCCAGAGCCCGCATCGGCAGCCCCTGGAGCAGTACCAGCATCTGCTACACACCATCTGCTCCCCTCTTCACCTTTCTTTTCAAATGCTGACTTTGGTTCTCCCTGAAGTGTTTTTTACACTGGGTGTTCAAGTTTATTTTAAGAGAGAGGGAGGGTGGGGAGGGATATAAGGGGAATGCATACATTGCTAGTAACATTTTTAAAACTAACATTTTGGAATAGAGTTTATGAAAATCTTTAACTGGCTTTTAATCATTTTTAATAATTTACACAGTTTAATAAACTGTTTAGTTCTGCTTTATTCTGAATCCCATGCCTTTTGGCATCATGACAGGTGCAGGAGCTCAGTGCAAAAACCGCTTTTTGATCAACCCTTTCGAGGCAAGCTTTGCCTAAGTCTGCAGACCACACAAGTGCTTAGGGAAGGTTGATACCAGCCTCAGTCTCTACCGGATGAGCCCTATTCTTTCCTTTCCCCTCTATTATTTAGTGACTTTGTAAGTTAAATAAACCTTTATTATTGAGCTGTTAAGTAATTATAATGAAATCTGCTGCAAATACCCTATTGGAATCAATGTGCTCCAAGACTGAATTAGCATTATTTTTAATAAACCTATCTGCTTAACATATTAGAATTTTTACTAAGAAGAATTTCAGTGTGTGTGTGTTGATGGAAGATGCTCTCCAATAATTGTGTTAAACACGGCTCCTATGACAATGATGAACACTACTTAAAATAGACAGCCCAGCTGCATCATGCCAACATTTGACATCCTTGCAGATGGGCAGATATTAATATCATTCACAGTGCTGGACAAAGCAGAGTGTACACCGATTAAAGGTAGCTTTCAGTTGTCTCTTGGTAATTGGAGCGCACCAAAGCAGTGCTCCTTCATCGAAGAAATGGGATTTTAACAAAAGGTATTCCTTTGCTTGACTATGAACACACAAATGCCCTAAACCAAACCTTCATACAAGTGATAAACAAATAACAATGGCTTCCTTTGTTGAAACTTAGAAATGTGACCCTGTTCACTGTTCCTAATCAATCTGACAACACAACTCCTCAGGGACTCGGTAGTTTAATTAGTTCTTCTCTATTCCATGTTCCTGGGAACTGGCCGTTACCAGGCTGCCCCTTACTTTTAGATAGGGGAGCCACTTGGCACATCACTGCTTTTTTTTTTTACTTCATTTGCCAGGTAGGTTGTAGCTAGCTTATCACTGGACTAATTCTCTAGATTTTTGGTCTGTTTTGGCAAGAAGCCATAAGTACAGTGCCCGTGGCAGCACATTTATATTAACTACATCCTCCAGCTTTTACCTGGACTGTGGCAATGGTTTCCATCTAAATTTTACCTTGTCTTGTTTCATACCATTTGCCCACTTTTATAAACACGCATCATTACTCTCTAAATAGAAAAATTGAAATAAAGTTAATAGTTTCTGTGGGAAATCAGAGGAACCCATAAAATGTTACACTGGCACATGATCAAACATCAGTGAAAAGAAGAAAGCGATCCTATGGCCATGGGGGCTGGGGCTTCGTTAGTATGAAGACAAACTGTAAGTCTGGTAGTCAATCCAAAATCATCATTGTACCATAGTAAGAAAACACCTGGTGACAGATGTTCTTGGTAATTAAGGAAAATTTCCTGCAGAAATCCTGGCAAACACTATTATGGGGAGGTAATAACTAATAACATTCTTAGCACTTGGGAAGCCTAACACCTTTCTAATCTAAATGTCAGAGTGTATTAGCTGGTCACAAAGGAAGGCGTGTGACCTAGAAGGTGTTAGGACCATTTTTGTAGCGATCCCCAGTGCAGGGCAAGCATTTCAAATTTCTATAACATAAAGACCCTATAATCTTTTCGAAGCTTAAAAACACAGTAGATATTAAGTAAAAGGCAAGTGGAAGGCATCTTTAAACAAAAATATGTATACGCATATAAAATACTCAATTTAAAATAAGCATCCTATATAGAGTGCTAACTAGTAGCCACAGGAAAAATAAAGCATGGATAACATCCTAATGTACTCTCTGCCACTTCTACCTCAAGCATGTCCAGACAAAAATTACATACCAAGCCATAAAATATTTAAAGGCAAAATACAATACCAAAAAAGAAAAGTGCTTATTAATCGTCACTCAAGCAGTAGGGTGAAGCTGCCTGCACAATACACAGTATGGAAATAAGTAACCTTGGTTACTGTTTCCAAGGACACCGGGCTCTTGGCTAACAAGAGCTGAGGTGAAGCTGAATGCAACGCTGAGTCATTTTAATAAACTTGAATAAAGAAAATCAATGCACTGGTATTCCACATACCCCAAGTCCTTATTGGTGGTGTCTAATAAAACATTTCCAATATTAAACAGATAATGAAAGTAATGACTACTTTTCATAACAAAGGCTTTTTGTTAATAGCTGCTGAATTTTCCTCTTGCACCACCCATGGGGTGACTAAACGTACCATACGTGGCAAGGCCAGCAGTAGGTATGCTTACACATTTTATCTGAGGCATTCTGGAACATATCCAGGAATGGAAACCAATCTAGTTATCAAGTGAGCATATTTCAAAAAATTACTAACACAGGCCATTCTGACAGAATAGTCCCTATAGCATTTCCAAAAAATGTCTCAGCAATGTAAATTCTGTCAAACTGGGTGATATTACCGCAGAAGTAGGTTTTGTTATGGTCTATTAGGGACTATACAAGACCAATTAGAAGCCGGCTTGAATTCCGGTGCTACGCTGAAACCCTAGGTGCTACTCAGGCTGAACTGGGGCACAGAGGCCTCAGGAAAAGCCTGCTAGAAACTGGCCACATGTGTGATCCTGACACCCCACCAGCCCTGTGGAGGGCAAAGGCTCTGAAAGCAACAATCCAGGGACAACTGTCTCAGTCCTTAGTAGCTGAGGACGGAATCATCTAGAGCAGGGGTCCGCAAACTTTTGAGACAGAAGAGCCAATCCTGTCCCTCACAACAATTTAAAAATTATTCGAGAGCCATAAAACAAATGAAATCACCATTATGTGAATATCCTTTAAAAATTTTATAAATGAAACTATGATAGTTTCATTTTCAATTTTACTTCAGAGCCACATGTACGTACCCAAAGAGCCACATGTGGCTCGAGAGCCGCAGTTTGCCGACCCGATCTAAAGCAAAGGAGAAAGAAATGCAGATTTATCTCATCAACACCTCTCTGCATTCTGTTGGAATGTTCACCGTGCGCAGCAAAGTGAAGCGGAGCCCCATCAATCACTGGGTAATGAAAACGTTCTATACCTTTCTCGGAGGAGATGGAGGTAAAAGGTGTAAGATGGAACAAAACAGAGTTCCAGTTTTGTCCTGAAAAGGGAAAATAATCTAATTAATTATGTAAAGCAGCAATTATATAGGCAAAACCAACTTTTCCAGTTTACAAATAAAAACAGTCTAGGTCAGAAAGCCTAAGTCCTACCAAGTGAAACACACAAGATTCAAAGTCTCTTCATAAAGCACATAATTAATTCAGAGAAATGTGTGTCCTAGATTGGCGTGTTCTTCCCAGAGATAACACAGTACATAACCACTTGGGTTTTCTCTTTTCCCCTGATTTTATGCATTCAGGTTAAGTGGCAAAGAAAATTTCCTACATTAGAGGCATGAGCCTTTTCCTTTTATAATTCAGTGCTGTTTCTGAACAACTTTCTTCCGCTTCTTCTAAGCTGTACACCTCTACCATAAATACACATCACACTACTCGCCTCACTAGGCCAAGAGCTCCACCTTCTAACCCTGAATTTTCAGGTGTCTTACACAGATACTGCAGAGTCAGGCAGGACTGGTCCCTACGCAGACATTTCTGGAAATCTGGACAGAGGCCACTGAAAAGATATTTCATTCCACTGCCTTTCCAAGTCTTGTCTGAAAAAAATACCATGTGCAGTCTTTGTGTGAGGTCAAACAGGAGGCTTTCAGCGAAGGCTCCTAAGGGGAAGGACATTCATCCTGACATACAAGGATTTGGGCCTCTGTCAAAATGAACATTCTTCACTGCCATGTGCCCCACCAGGCAGGCTCTGAGAAAAAGTCTTCCTGACAGTTGGTAGTTTCAGAAATGAAAGGAGCAGAGAAATCGGTTGAGTTGCACAGCAGAGTTGGTCAGTCTGCCCTCACATGCCATTGTCCAATGGGGACAAGCATAATTTTTTTGATAGAAAGCACATAAATTTAATCACAATTTCCCATTTTTATTCGTTTCAGACATGAACACAATGAGGATAAATGCACTCTACTTCACAGGACAGTAAGTGTTCTAGTTATAAATAAGCACTGGCTCAAAACATTCTTGCCAATTCCAGTCCTACAATAATAATTTAGTTTTCTTCAAATGTCAATTCTTCACAGTTTCAATACTGCAGCAGCAAAGTATTCCTCGGATGCAGAAAATCGTGGTCCATATTTTAAAACACCTTAAGAGAGCAGGAGATGAGTTAGCCAATGTCTGGTGCCACAAGCAGTTTGGGGAGGGCAATTTTACCTCAGCCCCCAAGGACTGGCAGTGGGAACCAGAGGACACATTTGGGCTGTCTGTAGGAAGAGGGAACTTAAGCAGCCCCTCACCCCCCACCTCTTGGGGAATTCTTCATATAGATTCATGGAGGTGAACTTTGCAGTACTTGCATTCTGTTCATTGATCCCTGTCACTCATGGGTGTGACAAAAACAAAAAAGAAAAAAACAAAACCCGGTTGGTACTTCACAGAGTAGCTTTTCAGAGCAAATCAGGCAGGATGAGACCAGGAGGTTTGGGTTCCACACAGTTGATCCAGAAGTTGGCACAGCTGGCATGATACTGGTGTCCTCCATAAGCCAGCTTGAAACTGTCTGTTTCGGAGTTGAATGCCTGCCGGAAATAAACAGACATGTGGGGCGAGTCAGACTTCTTGTGCACCTAAGAGCCGGTCAGCAACTGGCACATACACTTCTTCAGGTCAGAGGCAGAGGCCGAACTGGCACACATACAAAAGCTGAGCTGAGCAGGTGGCTACAGAAAGTCAAGTAAAGTTTTTTGCTGCTAATTAAAGATATATATATATATATATATATATATATATATATATATATATATATATATATATGAATATATGATCTTTCATAGAAAAGGCAGACAGTCTATGGGGGTTGGGGGGAGTGTCACAATATGGGGAATAAAAATAGCCAAGGGCTATGGCTAAATTTTTATCCCTCATGAAGGAAGCCCTTCCCCTAAGGCTGGCAGTTGACTATAACATGTCATCCCTTAAGTTTCTGTGGCTGATTACAGTCCTATCATGAAAGAAAACAAAAGATTAGAAACTCTTAGGGTATAATGCCATTGGGAGCTCATAACTGAAACGACATAGTTAAAAAGTCCAAATAGGTACAAGGTTTGCAAAAAATGATGATTAAACACATTAAGAATTATTTCTGGGATGGCCAGGTGGCTCAGTTGGTTAGAGCACCTGCTCTTAGCAACAAGGTTGCCAGTTCGATTCCCACATGGGCCAGTGGGCTGCACCCTCCACAACTAGATTGAAGACTACTATTTGACTTGGAGCTGATGGGTCCAGGAAAAAAACACTGTTCCCTTTCCCCAATAAAATCTTTAAAAAAAAAAAGTTAAAAAAAAAAAAAAGATTTCCAAATGAGTAATGCTTATAGATAAGTTATAGCCAGCCAGTCCTAACCTGAACCACATCCTGGGGTGTTTTCTAAAGCACTACAAGTAAACAAAACAAAACTCTAAAACCCAAACGATTTGTTTTTGTCTGCTAATGGCCAAAGCCTGAAGCTCTCTGCTCTCATTCTGTGTGCCACTACAAGTTCCAGTCTTCCAGGAGGTGCTCATTCTGTTACCCTGTTCATCACGGAGAAAAAGAACCGCAGCACCAGAGGCCAGTCATGAGCTACAAGCATGCACACAAGGCCAACGGGGACCCACACAGACACGTTAGTTGATCAAATCAAACATGGGAACAAGGATGACTCAGTAAAGGACTCATGATTGGAACAGGTCAGGATGGCAGTGGAATCATCTGATCTGCCTTCCACACTCAAATTAAGATTGAGACGCTAAGATAATGTCAACTGGTTCATACTTTTTTAGGATGTTCCGCTGCCGGCTTCTCTTCTTTCTGAAATAATGTTGAAACCATAAGGTCAACACAATTCCCAGAACAGAGCCTCTTGCCTGCAAGCAAACGCTTCCGGGTTTAAAGCTTTTCTCGTTACCACCTACTGTGCACTGGGTGCTGCGGGCACAGTGCAAACAGCCTGCTCGTCAGAGGGAAGAGCCGCATCCACTCCGTTCCCTCCGCAGCTTCCCCACTGCCCTTCTGAAAGACTACACCTGCTCCTGTGGTCAGATTTCAGGGCTTCATAAAATCCCCACCGCCTCTGGGCACAGGCCTTGCAGTGAAGCATAGATGGGGCTGTTTCCCAGGTCATGCTGGGGAAGCACGCTGTCACCTGAAGGGGGAAGCATGGGACTTACCCGGCTCCTGGAGTCCACATTTAAAAGGCACACTCCACAGGCGAGTTCCTGGGCGTTCTTAATCCCGGGCCGTAGCATACAAGAGGAAAAATCCAGTGAATTTTCATCGGGCTGTGAGGACAAGACAAATGGCTAAGAGGCCAGCAATTCCAAATGCTGTTGGCTTCGCTCCCTGACCATTCATCCCCAGTAGGTCCAACAGCATATTCAGTAAACTCTCCAATGCCACCAATACAATCACTCAACTTCCCAAACACTTAACTGATTTGCCTTCCACACTCAAAATTAAGATGGAGATGCTAAGATGATGTGTAGCTGGCTCATACCTGCTGTGGTCTAGGAAGTAGGGATGCTAACAAGGAAAACCAGTCCCTGTCCTCTGAGAACTCAGTCAGTCTAGGGTGGGGACCCAGGTGGGTATCAGGCAATACAGTGCGACAAGAGCCATTCTACGGGTAAGTGCCAAGTGCCATGGCACACAAGGGGTGTGGGCACTTACCCCAACCCCAGGGGGAAGGAACATGATGGCAGAGAATGCTTCCTACAACTCAGAGACCTCCTGGCCTAGTCCTGATGGGTACATGCTAGGTGAAGGGGACGGGGTGGATGAGGTAGGGGAGGGAAGGATCTTTATTCTACGTAGAACAAGCAGCCCAGGTAAAAAATCGGATATGGGAAGAAATCTAGGGGGTGGGAGCCAAGCTTATGAAAGGAGATAGGAGATGAAACTGGAGTATGAGGTCTTTATAGGAATTAAAGGGTTGAGACCTTATCCAGGGAAGCCGTGAAGGGTTCTAACTGGATCATGACAGGACCAGGTTTGTATTAGGGACAGACATGTCTGGCTCCAGTGTAGGCAATGAATTGAGGGCGGGAACCTTCAAGGTATGGGCCTCAGTTACAAGGCTGTTGTAGCACTCCGGGAGACAGCTACTGAAGGTCAGAACTAAGGTAACAACAGTGGGGAACGGACAGAAGTGGACAAATGAAACAGCTACTTAGGCCGTAGAATCAACAAGCCTGGGTGATCAGTTAGATGTGTGGGGAGGGGAGAAGCTTGGGCAACTGAGAGGATTCACCATAATAAGGCACAGGAGAGCAGAACCAGGTTTGGGATGGAGGGTGGGAGAAGAGCTGTTTCATACGAGCTAAGGTGGAGCTGCCTGTGGGACAGCCAAGTTCTGATGCTGTACAGGCAGGCAGATGGATACGGAGGCCTAGTGCTCAAGAATGAGAAATCTGGAAGTTACCGGCGAGAGACAGTGAATATAACACATTAGGAAGTCAAGCCTTTACTTGTGCTAAGCACCACACTAAGCCCTTTACATGCATTATCTAATTTATTTCTTACAACAAACAAGTCTATGAAATGTGGAGAGTGTAGCCCAATGATTAAAAAGGCAGGTCCCAACTTTGGAATGCTCTTAATTTCTTAAAAGTTAAAATATACATCTACTATATGAACTTGCTATATTTATCCAAGAGAAATGAAAACATGTATGTTAACAAAAGTCTTGTATAAAAAGTGTTCATAGCAGCTCTGTTCATATTAGCCCAAACTGGAAATAGCATGTGTCTATGAACAATAACATGGATTTAAAAAACCATGGTATATTAATACAATGGAATATTACTAAGATAAAAGAAATCAAACTGATACACAGAACATAGATGAATTTTTAAAACATGCTAAGCAAAAGAAGCCCAACACAAAAACATATATATATACACACACACACACACACACACACACACACATATATGTGTGTATATACATATGTGAGTGTGTGTATATATTGGAAAAGTCATGACACATTTTTCCATGAAAAATAGAAAAAATACGTCATGACTTTTCCGGCAACCCAATATATATTACATAACTTCATTTATATAAAGTTTTAGAACAGGCACATCTATGGTGATGGAAATCTAGGGAAAATGGACCAGTGGATGTTTTGGAACCAGATCAGGGGATTAACAGGGAAGGCACAAGAGGAACTTTAGGGGGTGAGGAAAATACTCCATATATTGATGGAGTCTGTATCCGTTTGTCAAAACTGATCCAACTATACACTTAAGATCTGTGCACTTCACTGTAAGTTACTCCTCAGTTAAGAAAAATACTTAAATAACAAAACAAAACAAAAAGACCACCAAAGCAAAAAAATGATTCAGAAGAGTTGGATTCTTTTTTTTTTTTTAATATTTTTTAAATTGGGGAATTGGGGGATGGGAACAGCCCTGGGGAATTGGGGGAAGGGGAACAGACAAGTTGCTGTCCTTTTGTTCTTCAGTCTAGTTGTGGAGGATATTGCTTCACTGGCCCAAGTTGGCACCATCATTGCGCTCTTCCCGGGTGACGCAGATCAGTTGCCGGCTTCTGGATGGCCGCTCACGGCGGCTGCTGGCTACACACAGTAACCCATGGCAACCCACTGCAGCAGGGGCTGCAGCCTTTGCTGTCGCCGATGACTCACGGCAGCCCAGCTCCAGGCTGAACTGTTGTTCAGCATCTTAGCTGTGGAGGGCAGTGTCACTGGCCCTCATATGTGGGATCCAAACCGGGGCCCTCTGACATCCCAAGCCAGCTCTTAACCAACACACCACTCGGCCGGCCCCCAAATTTTTTAATATATATTTGTTATATACTCCCACTCAAGCTGCCAATATGACGTCACTGAACATGGAGCTGGAGAGACGCCTGCAGTCCCGTCATCCAGTCTGTCCACATGTGGATGTAACAACAGACTAGGGTGACCAACATTCTGGCTTGTGCGAGACTGTTCTGCTTTTAGCTCTGAGGAAATCCCTGGGTCCTGAGCAAACCGAGATAGCTGGTTATCCTAGGACAGAAATAAAAACCTCAAAAGCTAAGGACTAAGCAGATAGGAAAGGAAGTAAAGATGGAAGGGAGATGATAAGAACCAAGTAGTGGGTTAAACAATTATCCTGTCTTGAGAACCAGAAATAAGAGCAGTACAAGACAGGTGTGACAAAGTCAGAGGGTTACCGATTTGGGCTCAGAAAGATGTGTGAATTTAAGATTGCACAGGTACTGCAGTTTAATGTGATAACACGGTCCAGTGTGATCATGACAATGGGTGGCTGAAGCGAAATGGAGACCAGGGTCCTGGAATCCAGTGGTGAAGGACCTGGGAGTGTGGTGGGTTTGTCCTCATGGATACTGAGGTGACCCAGGATGATGGCCAAGTCCTGCCAAAATAATAGCTACATTTTCCATACTTATTTTAGGCTGAACTGCTGAGGAATTACTACACTGATTTGTATTTGCAAAACTGTATTATTCTTCTCCAGAAAGAAAAGGCTCTTACCTAGAAAAATGTATAGATTATATATGATGCTTCCCTAACCCTTTCTAATTTGAAACAATATACTAGCTCCATAAACCTTTCTTAATCTAACCTGAGCTGAATCCATTCAAATCTTACCTAAGGATGGAAGGATAAACAATTCTCAAAGAAGAAACAGGGAGATGGAGGTTTCAACTGTGTTCATGTGGATGCTGATCTAGGTGATTGAAATAAACCTACGCGGCCTTGGCCAAGCCACAGGATGATTTTTCTTTTCTTTTTTAGCACAATCACGGACACTTTGGTCAAACCTACCAGCAGGTGGGACTATCATTTGTTTGCTGTCCAAGTCTGTCATCTGTAAAATGGTAACAATTTCATTTGCTCTCCCTCCCTTCCTCCCTCTCGCCCTTAGTTGGTGTTGGGGCCCTCAGAGATACATAAAAAGTGCTCTAGAAAGGATAAAATAGTCTAAATGATTATTGCAATTACTCACTTTGACAAATAAAGCCTAACAAGCTTTCTGAAGATGTTAAAAACATAGTAGAGCACATCTATAACTCACACTACAGATATTTATCATGTAACTGAATAAGGACTATTTAAGAAACAATTAGAACCTGGGAAAACTCGAAATCTTAAAATCAATCAAACTAATAAAAGCCCTTTAATATCTGTTTACCAATGGCATAAGAGAAGCAAATGGAAAGGTCATATTGTAATCTCCAGTGAAAAATTTAAGGCTCTGCATAAACTGTCCTGTGGTCAAGTTAATCTTTCAAACGATGAAATTAACCTCTATGAATACACATCTATAAGCAGGGGGACTGATGTATTGAGTTGTCGGAAAAGCTATGACGTATTGTTTCTGTTTTCCGTTGCAAAAATGCGTCATGGCTTTTCCGACAACCCAATAGTACACAGAGTGACACCAATCAATGGCAGTAATTCCATAGAAGGTGTGCCCTCTACAGGCCACCTTAAATTGAACATCATTTACTTTAATTGGATTTAATAAATATTTTTAAAAAGTTATATTATACATTGACAAGTCCCAGAGCCAGGCTGGGATATACAATCCCAAATCTTAAGCCAGTAATAAATTGCTAAAGTGATGTCCAAGAAAATCAAAATTAAGGAACGGGATTTTGGTAGTAATTTGTGTTCTTCACCAATATTCTCATTCGCCTTCTTCCAGACAAATGGTAGGACAGGCCTTCCCTAGTCCCTTAAATTAGGCATGGCCGTGTAATTTGCCACGGTCAAGACTATGAGCGTAAGTCACTTCTGGAAGGAAGCCTTTAAGACCAATGTGCTATATATATGTCCTGTTCCCTCGATCCTCTCCTGGTGACCAGCTATGTTCCATGTGGTGGAGGCTCTGTTAATCCAGGTCCCTGAGTGAGAAGGACTTGGCTCAGAGACCCCTCCAACTCAAGATGGGCATGTGGCAGGAGCAAGAGATAAGCTTTGTTGTTTTACATGCTAAGGTAGGTTGGGGGGGATCTGGTTTGTCACCACAGCACAACCCAGCCTAATATGACTGACATAAAGAGTGATGCAGACACAGGTTCCACAAGCAACTCTAGACTTTGGTTTTGGTTACAATATAACCATTCTTGGCTATGATGTTTTGTATAATTTTTCCTATTGCTACTATAACAAATTAGCACAAATTTAGTTGCTTAAAACATAGATTTATTCTCTTACAGCTCTGGAGGTCAGAATTCTAAAATGGGTTGGCAACGCTCCGTTTCTTCTGGAAATTCCAGGGGAGAATCTGTTGCTTTGCCTGTTCTA